CTTTTTGTAATATATACAATGGTTGAAGTGAGCATATGTATGTATTTCCCCAGTTTTCAACGCCATACTCCAAGTATGGTAAAATCAATGAAGAATACAAAATACGTAGTGCTTTCCCATTCAAAATATATCTAACCCTTGCCAATATCGATATATTTTTTGCTATTTTATGCTGAATATATCTGATATGAGATTTCCAGGAAAATTTGTCATCAACTATGACACCTAGAAATTTAATTTCATATACTCGTTCTATATTAGCTCCCCCATTTTTCAATTGAGATATGTGTGCCTTATCCTTCTGTTTCATCAACTTTATACCATCACTGCCCTCAGTCCCCAATCAGAAGGTTTCCTGACTCTGTGAGCCCACTCCATCTCAATTTCTTGATGAATTTGCAGTTTATCCTTTAATATTTCCTTCACCTTACATTCCGCTTCCGTCCAGCTTTCTCCAGCTGACTCCTTGATTCCCTTAACTGATTCTCAGTTAAGCATCCCCAGCTCTTTATCTAGTATTGTGTTTTTACAGTAGGTGAAGATGAACATTAAAGCATTGAATACTCTCAAATTTGTCCATGTGCCCAAGTTTATTCTCCACTCACATGTTCTATTTAGGGCCTGGATGCTCTAGCACTATTTATCAAAGCAGCACATACCTTGCAGTGTGCTACATCTGTTCAAGGCTTAGCCCCAACAAGAAGACAGATGTGTGACACAAGTTGATGCAGTATATTTGGTTGCATGTTGCCTTTTCAGTTCAGCAGACTCAGCAAAATAGAATTTATCTAATGAGTTTTTGCTGGTTGACTTGGAATGGTCTATGAGTCCACAGATGGGAACTGCAGCGTTCTTCTGTCACAAACAGAGTTGTCATGCTAAGGTTCATCACAGATACGATATCTTTTACTCCAATACCCTGGTCCCTGTTCCTTACCCCTTGCCCTCACTTATCACCCAGGATTGAAATTAATTGGAAAATTATCAGAAGAAAACTTAAAAGAGATGTGACATGCTCCCACATCTACCCTTCATTTGATGTCTGTCAGAAACGGCGCACGTAATGCGGCCAAAAAGTGTTAGGTGAACTCAATTAAATGGCCAGACGAGGAAGTGTAAAACAAAACCATCTCTTTATTAAGAGAACTAACGTTGAACAAAAGAAAACCATACAAGACAC